AATTATTTACATTACTTCTCTTACTTTTTTATTCCTTAATTCTAACCAGCTATAATACATGTCCCATACCTCGTGAAATTCAGTAACTTCTTTGTCTTTCATTTCTAGAGTTAGTTTGTTCATTTCTGCACAGTCTAAAATCTTTCCTATAATCTTTGCACTTGTTGGTATGTTTTCTAATACGTTTATACGTATCTTCAACATTTCTAATACAATTCTGCTTTTATTGAGCATGGAGTGCTTTCTTTCCTCAATTATTCTTCTGTTGCAATAAACTTGATGAAATATGCAAATAATCTTTCAAAACTGTGTGTGAATCCTGCTAAATTTATTAAACTTCAAAAATATATTGTAGTTTATATCCTGAGCATTAATCATTTGAAAATATATGACTAAACCTTACAAACTATGTGCAAAATGAAATCCCCCCCATTATTTTTTAGGATCAAAGGTTCCCCAAAATTTCTGTGAAAAAATGAAGAGAACAAATGATAGAAATCAAGGATACTTCTATTACTATATGTATCTTTGGTTTACACATGGAATGGATGGACGATATGGTAAAACCCCCCCACTATTATTAGTGATGGAGTTATATATACTTAAAAACAGAGAAAAAGAGGGGGTAGAGAGTAATGGTGATAAGGAAATTACTAAATTATGTAATGCAACACACTGGAAGGATTTCTTTTACCAATTTTTTTCTTTCTTTCTCTCCTTCTCCTTCCCTCTTCCATTCTCTCCCCCCCCCACACTTAGGTTGCTAGCCACTAAATGCAAATGATGAATGAATCACTGATTGTTCCAGTAAAATAAATCAACACATTTGGCATCAATAATCCTTCTGTTTAGAACAGGGCTTTTCAACCTTTTCACCCACTGTACCACTTTTAGGATATGGCAACATCCGAGTACCACCAGTCGCCTAGCAAGGTGTCAAAAACCTGATGACCAAAAAAAAAAAAAAAAGGAAAAAAGTGATAAAGTACAGGTAGTCCTCGACTTACAACAGTTTGCTTAGTGACTCTTAGAAGTTACAATGGCACTGAAAAAAATGCCCCCCAAGCTACAGCCGAGCAAGACACCTGCCTGCCCACCCGGCAGCACTCTTCCTCCTGTCCCAGATTTTCATTGTTGTTGAGGATTGGCAGCGGGGTGGGGTGGGGGGTGTTTGGTTTTTATTCCCCCATCTGCTGGGTGGTTGCAGCAGATTTTGGTCACTTCACATGACCCTGGGACACTGTGACCGTCATAAATATGAATCAGTTGCCAAGCATCTGAATGTAAATCACAAGACTCTGGAGATGTTGCAACATTCCAGCTGATCAGCGCTTCTTCTGGGCTCAGCAGAAGCGCCAGGATCAGTGCTGCTTTCCAGCTGATTGGTGCTTCTTCAGGGCTTAGCAGAAGCACCAGGATCAGCGCCAAGCTCCAGCTGGAGCCTGGCGCTGATCCTGGTGCTTCCACTGAGCCCTGACAGCCCTGCAGCTCCAGCCATCTCTCACTCAGGCTTGTGCGGTGCTGCCACCAGTTCAGCTCATTCCCCTCCCCCGCTACTTTTCTAGGATGGTCGCGTATCACCTGCCAGGTGCCAATGTACCACAGGTGGTACCCGTACCACTGGTTGAAAAGCCCTGGTTTAGAACATATAAAAAGCTCTTTCATTTTCAGGGAATGGAAAAGCGTAATTAGAAGGAACTGTGATTCTTTTAATTGGAGGCCACTACATTATTTACAAACAGTGTTTGAACAGAAGCTATTAGGTGTTTATACTTCAGTATTTGTGCTTAATTAAGTAATGTTTAGCCATTTTTTGGCTGAAAACCTTTTATTTGCTACTTCATAATTTTCATTAAAATCTGTAGCACTCAACACTTGCTATTTTGTGGAGACGTTATCTTAGCATTTCTAAATGTATACATTGCTTCAAAATGTATTGTACACATTATAAGAAAGCAGTGTGTGTGCCTATGGGCCTTCTTCTGAATTTACAGGGTTCAAGGGATCAAACTGAAAACTCATGAATGATAAACATTTTTTATTCTTTACTCCAACACAGTAGCAGAATCCACCGTATCAGAACTAACTGGGGCAGAGGGAAAATAGCAAGTGTCATGCAAACCTGTAAAAAAGTATTGCATGAGCATATTCCTAGTTTTCTGCACATTCTATGGGAATGCCTATTAAGTATTATAGCAGGTTTTCTTTTGAATACTTTAGCACCTAATGCAAATTATGGGGGAATTTTTATTTTACAAAGAACCGTTCTTTTGTGTGATCTATCATATTCCTATATAAATAAGCTAAGGGATAAGTCTGAAATTACAAACTGAAAACCCATTTCACTATCTCATCAAACATGTTTAAAACTGTGCTACAAAAATATTTTGGCCATTAAAATTCATAGGCCAGCTTTTCCCAATCTGGGGCCTTCCTGATATGCTTGGACTTCTGCTCCCATAATTCTGAACCAGCAGAGATTGGTCATGATGTTTGGGGATGTGGGGAATTGAGATGCCATTGTTTTAAAGAGCAGCTTGATGGGAAAAACAGTTATATATTACATGTAAAGCTGTTATATATTTTTACATATAAACTCACAGAAGTGAGGTACTTAAGTTTTAATTTAAAGATTTCATATCCATTAATTTAAAAAATCCATTAACTGCCAGCAGAAACCAAACCAAAGTATATCTAAATATTAATTCTTTAAAAATTATTCCAATAGAGGTAAATGTATTTCAGTGAAAGGATATCTTGCAGGACTGTCTTTAAGTGCAGTTAAAAATGCTGTTTTCTGAGTTCCTGTAAAGATAATACATGTCAAATAGAGTGAAACTACAAGTATAAGTGAAAGTATCTGAAAATCCAACATACAATTGTATTTTCAAAAAATCACAATACATAATTTGTTTAATCCAGCCTTAAAATGTTGATGAAACTATTCAATAAATAATAGAGAAAATAAAATCAGAATTGCATATGCTGGATAGTTTCTCAGTAACACCAGATTAATGTCTGCAGGCATTAGTTACATATAAATAAGATACATGATTTCACTCTTTTTACTATCCTAATATGGAAACAAAATATTTCAAGCCCAGTTTTCTCCATAAAAATGTGCTTAGTGATTTATTTTCTCTCTCACGCACACAAAAATGTTTTGGCTGGATCAGGAGATCTTTAACTACAGTTTGACCCAAATTCCAAGCTTTTTACAAATTCCTTTGGAGATATTACTAGGAGATATGAGCAGCCAGCAGTAAATTTCAGTTTAATGCATTCAAAGCCCCAAGTCCATTACTTATTTACTAGATTCATATTTAGCTGAAATAAAAAAGACTCTTAGTCATTCTATGGAATTCTTGAGTGGAGGGCTCTTTGAAGAACTGACCACAACAACATTTTGGGAAACGAGAGGCTGGATTCTGCCTTTCATCTCTTTTTCCATCCATGGTAGCATCTCCCAAAATAGAGTATCAAATCAGTTCATGCTACTAAATAAACAAACCACATCTACTAACATGAAACAAAACTCTAGTTGCTTCTGCCTTTAGTAAGCAAGTATATCATATGATTTTTATATAGGTTAGTATAGGTATGTTATTTAACTTTATAACCACCATTTTGTCTTCACAACAGGTTTGTGACATAGACTGGGCGGAATGAATTTGGTAAAAGATTACCCAAAGTACTACACCATACTGACTGTTTATTTGATTAACTATGAACCTGAACTAGAATTTGTTAAGATCCTTAAGACAGCTCCTCTAAAGTGTCAGGGACCTTAATTTCTACTGAAAGTCTACCACTCATGAAAAGAGCCTGAATAAAACTGACAATAATAGCCAATTATTATTTTATATAACCTAATTTAAAAAGAAACTGTTCTATATAAAGGCTACACATGATTAAGAAATAACAAAAAAAAAAACAGTTGGCAAGGATCTGCATTAACAAGACTCTTTGAGAGCTGGAATTATGTTGAATGTCAAAGAAGGAATACGATAGGGGGGGTTTCTATAAGGATACAGATATCCTAATAGATCAAGATTAAAGTTAAAATTTAATTCTTAAGGAAATGGCTACATACATAATCTGATTTTACTAGCATACTTACGATGGATGATGTGGGTAATAACGAATGCAAATATAAAAACTGTCAGAAATGACAGAGATAAAATAAACATATAAAAAAATCTGTAGTTTCTTTTCCCCACACAGTTGCCTACCCAGGGACAATGATGATCAAACCGTTCTGAAAGAGAATGTAGAAGAAAAAAAGGAATTCAATTAGGAAAAAAATTAGCTTAACTTATTCTTTATTACAAAGTTCTCATTAACATGTGATTTGTTACATATATTATATGTCACAATTGTAGTTCTATAAAGTAGTCTTAAACAATATTTCACTCCTGTGCAAGCCTTCTCAAACCAACCTATATACTTCATTTTTTGTTTTATTTGCTTTATGTAATATTAAGCAGGTCTTTCGCTTACCTGGGTATATATACCAACACTGTTCATTTTTTGAATTTACAAATTCCCTTTTGCTTAGATGAATTAAATGTGCTCACTGTATAAGTTCTGAAACAATCTTCTGGTGATCTTTGATGGGTAGCAGAATTTTTACTTCACTTTCAGATTTTGGCAAGCATTTGTTTGGTTGAGTAAATCATCTCTTTTCAATAACTATTTTTGTTATTTATTTTATTATTTTCCTCCTAAAGAATGCACTGAATATTTAGGGTAACTGTCTATAAATATTTTAAGCAAGCAAATTAAACTTTATTGAAATGATCAATTTTTATTAAGATGTTAGCTAACTACTTAAATTCAACAGCTTTGCTCCAGATTTCCTATAGTATTGCTAAGAAACTTGGGAAAATGTATCTTAGGTCTTGCGATATAGACATTTTTAATAATGAAACATCTTCAGCTGATTCTGCAGCTGTCATATTAGTTAAAGCAGAATACTCTTAGGTAGGTAGATAAAGATTGGGAAAGGTGAAGGTATTTTTTTGGCGAGGCCCAGGTGGACAGTTTTTGCTATGGCATTTACTCATTGGAAGATCATTACCATCCCATCCTCCCAAGGTGAGATTAGCCCCCAACCCAAGGTGGAAAGGCCCTTTATTAGGCCTGGGGATTCCATGGCTATATAAATTAAATAAACAGGCAGCCCTTTTCTGAAAACTCTGTTTTCAGAAGGTAGAGTTAGGCTATCTCCTAACTGACTGATTAGATGAACAGAACTGGCTTTTGTTTACAAATATTCTAACAGCATTCTTTAAAACCATTGTTAGAAAATATTCTGCCACAGAAAACACAAGGACTTTTGTGTGAAATACCAAAAACCTGGCTAATTCAATGAGCTTCATTCACATTTGTGCCCATTGGCAGTATGCCTTCTTGTTGTTTTCTCTGAAGCCCTATGATTTTAATGTATGACTGCATCCATTGGTCATTCTTCATTTACATGTTTCTCTACATAGCTAATCTGTATAATGTCAGTTGTGTTTACATTTTTTCACTATATTATTAAAACTCAGGAAATCTAGAAG